TCTGTTTTATATATATATATATATATATATATATATTATCATAACTAAAAATTTCAATACACTTAATAATAATGTTAAGAATATTATTATCTAAAAATATTAGGATATTACAATATCTTTAATTCTTAAAGAATTTTTTTATATTTATTTTATTTTTAAAAATATTTAGAGGCATGTAATGTCACTTTTTCTTAGTTTATACATACATACATATTATAAAGAATATATTAAGATACGTAATTGGTATTAGTCTCTACTTTTTAATAGGTTATTATACCTCTTAAATATAAAAAAATAATTATATCTTTTTTAAATAACTACATATAATCTCTTAACATTTTTTCTGTATATAATTATTAGTGACACGAATTACCTCAACTCTATTATATATAAAAACAATTGAAAGTAAAAAAGAAGAAGCTACTAAAAATACATGACCGGACCACAAATAAGTACAAAATGTCAACTTGATAAGACGTTGTGATGAAAGATTAAAAAAAAAAAAAAACCTCTTTATTGCAAGGTCCTCAAAGTATTTACAGAAAAATTGCTTCTTCATATTGGATCTTTGAGTCTCCTTTTATAAGGAAAAATTGTATGTATTCAACCTCTACTATTTCATCTCTTCCTTTTTTTTAATTAATCATTCTTATCCACTAACTTCCTTTTTTCAGCTCTTATCTAACTAGAGTTTAACTACTCTATCCTTTCAACAACAAGTGTGCATATTATTTCCATTTTTTTTCTTTTATTTTTATTATTTTTAAGACTTTATCCCCTTTCAAAAATAACAAGCAAATAAAATATGATTATTCATATGTATTTTTTTATATATAAAAACTTATGTTATGTTTGTTTTTTTAAACTATAGATATTGTAAATGTAAATTATTATTATTATTAGAAAATTAATTAATTTTTTCAAATTATTAATGGTGATAATGTGATATTTATTATTCATGTTATTATTTTTATTATTTAATGATATAATCTAATTAAAAATGTATAAAATATTTATTAATTCATTTACTATCATCCTCATTAATGGTTCTATATATCATTTTCTAAGGGATTAACTGCCACTAAATTGCGGACAGTTATGACTAAAGAGTAAATATTTTCACTGTTCCATGGTTCCATCCCATTTACAAATTGCTGATGACTTTTGATTGTTCGTAATAACTGATGGATGTCTTTGTAATGAAATTTTTTGACTTGTAACTTAATAGCATACAAGAGGTGCACATGTGTATATAATTTTCTATTTTCTATTACTGAATGTGCCCAGCCAAGAGGTTCTAGCAAAAAGTATATGAATATTAGAATATGGATTAATGTCCACGTAGATTACTATACGGGGATTTCTCTCAAAAAACACAAGGCAACGGGGATAATTAATTTGTTCAAGTCCAGACAGGGTAAACATCCATTCCACAAGAGATGAGAATTGAGATGAAATGGAAAAAGGTTTTTTTAATTTTTTTTTACAATATTCTTATTTTTCATTTTGTTTTTAACGCTTTGTAAAGTGTGTTTAAATAAATTCAGGACTAAATAAAATTATGTTTTAAATAAAAATTATTTAAGGAAAAAAATTGGTAAAAATATCTAATTAAAAATGAATATTAAGGAGGTAATTACTAAACCATATTCTCTTTATAATATGTATAAATGCATCTTTCTACTTTATTTTTTTTTTGGTATCATGTTATTTGATGCAAAATATTCACCGACTTCTAATCTTTATATGTTCATCACCTTTGATAATATTTTCCCTCCCAACCATAATTTTCTCCTTCACAATTGAGGACTTTTGATTTAAATATTAAAAAAAATTACCAAAATATCATATTGTGAAATATATTTTCCAAAATGTTATGTTTACTATTTATGTTAAAAATTTGGCCTTCCATTAAATAATTTTTTACATAAATTTTTATTTTTTTATTTATAAATTGAGAAATTACTTAACCAGTAACCAATTTCTCATTTACATTTTTATATAATTTCTTTTTTGTAATATATATTTTCTATTTAATTTATTAGCTTGAAAAATTAGTTAATATATAAATGAATTCATAATTTTTATTTTATAAATTTTTGTAAGAAGAGATTATAAATAAGTTAAAGATGCATAAATTTATTATGCAATACAAACTAAAGAGTACATATACATCACAAAAAATAGGATTTTAAAAGATCAATTACATTGTAATAATAAAAATATAGATTAATTTTCACATGTACTTCAAAATCAAATTCATAGTGCACACCACAAATAAGTAAAAAATAAATAAAAAATACAAAATTAACTTTCATGCATACTTCAAAATCAAATTCATAAACAACAATTAATGGTGCATGTATTCACTAGTACCACATCTTGCAAGATGTTTGTTTCTTATTGGATTTTGACGTATTCTTGCTTGTTCTTAGAGTTCAATTTGGCAGTCAAAGTTAACATTTTCATCATTTACAATGATATCATTTGATTTCGTCAATGTATGAAAGCTTACAACATTATCAATCGTGGGTGTTGTAAAGCATCCAATGACATTTTCTTGAATTGATGCAAACAAAGAAATACTTATGCTTTGAATGTAAACGTACACAAATTCTAGTGTTTGAAGGTCAGCACCAACTAAATTACTCATGTAGTCAAATCCAACACCACTTGTTGAGTATGGGGTGTTAAGAAATTGTTCATGTCAATAATTAGACTTTGTAGAGGTGGTGTATAACGTTGCCTTGAACATTGTCTAGTTAGCATTTGTATACTTTCAACAATTGTGTCACCTACAATTGTGAAGTGTTCTACATATAGGAAAACTTTAAAATTTGCACGATACCATTCCAAATATTCACGGGTATATTGTAGAGGTCCTTGAATAGGTCGATCAACAATCACTTGTTTTTATCGTTCCTTCCAAATAGTTATCCATTGCACATGTTCCTCTACCCAATTTGTGTTATATGTCCTCTCATGTCTTTATGGTGGAGTTTGTCAAGGTTATAGGGAGTATTTAGGATGAGTTTCCATAGGCTAAATTGAAATTGGACCTTGCTAGTTTGATGCCATACAATAATTGGAAAACAAATTAATACAATGCATGCACTTCATATTTTAGAGTCCTCGTAAGCATGGTTTGGTAAGAATGACTCAAACCCTCTGTATGGAATTTGAATAAAATGTAAATAAAACATGCAATAGTTCTTGTATAATTAACAAAAAATCAATTAACAATTATCAAAAAGTTGTATATAACCTGATCATTCTTCATATTATCGAATCTTAATTTGTAACCTATGGCATCACCATAGGGAGTTCCTGTAAATCTTAGCCCTTTGTCACTCCATTTATCACAAAATAAAAATAGGTTATTTTGGGATTGTTAGTATCATTGTTTGTTGTAGTGAAATGATAAAGGAAAATCATCAATAACGTCATATCTAGTAGCAAGTGGATATGATAAATCACGTTCAATTGTTGGTTGAATGTTCATCATACGATACCATGCCCAAGATTGAAAGTGATCAATCCATTTCAATCTCAACATTGATAGCACATGTAAAAAGTGTTAAAGGCTACATTGTGACGTACAAAAAAGCATGGAAGGTCAAACAAAAAGTTATTGAAGATATATATGAAAATTGGAAAAAATAGTAAAATGATTTACCCAAATTGATAACAACTATTACCTTTTAGGTTTGGTTGTAGAGAAGAAAATGAAACCATTGTACAACCATGAAGGACAATTATAGTCAAGGGTTTTGTTCAATTCCATAGTTTATTTTGGTGTTTCAAACCATGTATTGATGAGTTTAACTGCTATAATCCCCTTGTCCAAGTTGATCATACTTGGTTGTATGGAAAGTATAGAGGCACTCTACTAGTAACTATTGAAAAATATGGAAACAATTAAATACTTCTAATACCATTTGCAATTGTTGATGGTGAAATAGCGGCCACATGGTTCTTCTTTCTAAAAAAATTGAAAAGACATGCCATACCTCAAAATGGTCTCTGTTTGATCCCATATAGGCACAAGTCAATTAAGAGTGCGTACTTAAGAGATGACAATGGGTGGACATCAGAGAATTTTATGCATTGGTTTTACATTCAACATATTACACAAAATTTTATGAGGCAATTCAAAAAATGAGAGCAAAAGAAAACAAGTCATTAACATAGATTATTAGTATATTTTTATTTATTCTTGCAATCAAAACAATTAGTTTTATCAATTATTTTTCAACTTAATGACTTTATATGGAATAAATTCTCCAACATATTGAGCCTACATTTAGTTACTACTATAATAATTTTAGGGTAGAATAAAAAATGAAAGTGTTATTTAATGGCTTGATCAAATCCCATGAGATAAATAGAATCTCACATGAGATGGAGGTTGAAGATGGGAGCATATGACCACAAATCTAGAAGAGACAATAAACTCAGTACGTAGAAAAACTAGAAACCTACTAATTAGAACGTTGATTTTGTCAACTTACTAAAGGTATAACAATTTATTCAATGAAAGAGGGAGAAAAGTCATAGCTAAATTGAGATTTGGTCAAGTATTCTCAAAAATATTAAGCAAAGCCTTAGATGACGCACAAACAAAGGCAAACTCTCATCATGTGCTTAAGTTCAACAAATGCGATACACGTTTTCTGGTGTAAAAGACGCTTAACCCAAGAGAGGGATGACCGACTGGACAACTCACAACCAAATAGGATAAAATGTGGTGTGATTGTGACAAATTTAAAAAATTACACACGTCAAATCATGTAAAACGGAGGTCTAGAACTTCAGTTATGACTATTTTAATGAACAGAGGTTGAGCTGTCAATGTTGATTATATCTGTTATGATTTTTGAAATTTTTAGCTAAGTAGATAATTTTTTTAGAATTTCATGTCCTCATAAGAGTTGTAGCTTATCATTTAAAAAAAAGTTACAGTTGAGAAATTGATTACTAATTAACTAATTTCTAATGGATAAATAAAAAAATTGAAAAACTTAGGTGAAAAATTAGTTAATGAGGGACCAAATTTTTAACATAAATAATAAATATAACAATTTGATAAATATATTATGATATTTTGGTAATTTTTTTTTGCAATATTTAAATAAAAATTCTCAAATTCTCAACATAAATAGTAAACATAACCCTTTAATAAATATATTTTAAAATATGATATTTTAATAATTTTTTTAAAAATATTTAAATTAGAAAGTCACAATTGAGTCTAACATTACTTCGTTCACTTTGATAAGGTTTCTCTTTTTTAACGTTGCAAAACTCAAACTCAATATCTATTTTAAAAGACAGAATCTAATACTATTTGAACCAATGATACATGGACCTCCAACTTTTGTATCGATGATTCCTTTTAACATGAATTTTCCTTAGGAATTTTTAGCATGCCACTAGCGTTTTGTTTGATATAGTTAGCTAGGGTACGTTATCTAGTTTGTATTACGATTCTTTTAAATAAAACAAGGGTACAATTTTTAAGTTAGTATCTATAAGAAGTAATCTACAAAATTTACATATGCATGACTTTTTTTAACAGATAAAATGTGTCTTACGTCTTTTAATTTTTAGTTAAAATTAGTTTTAGTTCTCATGTTTTAAAATGATGATTTTTGAGAATCTTATATTCTATAATTGGTAAACTTCATATCTTTATAGAATTTAATTAGGATACTACACAATTAACCCTTAAAAAAAAAGGAGAACCAAAATCATCATTTTTAATGTTAAAGAATAATTAAGACCATTTAACCGAAAATGAAGAGATCTAAAATACACTGTACCCTATTTTCCAATTCAAGAATATAGCTTTTCTGAAATGTCTACACTACTCAAAGGAAACAAGAAAAACAAGTTTAGGCTAACTTTTTCTATACCCTGCGATAACATAGCATAATTAAATTTAACATTGTTGTAATAGTTAATGGTGCTAGCAAATGGCAGTGATAATCTAATGAACGATTATGTTAAAAATCACATACTTTAAAATGGCATAAATTATAGTTGAAAAAGATTGAGGGGGTGTGAGGGAGCAAAAAGCATTACTCTAATCTTGCTTTGAAAAATGGGAAGAAGAATATTTTCATGGTACATGATAGATGGAAGAAACAAGAACCGGGGGAATATAGTGACCAAATTTTAAAGCTTGTTAGTGAAAGACAAAGACATTGACAAAATTAAAACATGTTTGAGTCTTGAAAAATGTGGGGGACGTAATTAGATTTCTCTAATTTCAAAAGATGATGTATAATTTTTTTAATTAGATGTATTTCTTTATCCATCAAAATGATAAAGAATAATAATACTCTTGTGACTATCAAGCAAGAACTAATATTATGTTACAGATTTTTAAATCATGTCTCATGTTCAATTTTACTAAGATTTTATTTGTCAAATTATTGACCATAAATGATCCATGAGCTAGATCACTTCTGGTGTAAAAAAAATATTTTTAATTAAATATATTCATCAAAATAGAATATTATTATTTTCAAGATTTAATTAAATATGATACCAGTTTCGTGCTGCCTTATTCTCAATGCACACAGACAAAGCGCCAGGACCTGATGGTCTCAACCCAGGCTTTTATAAACACTTCTAGGAACTACTCGGGCCAGAGCTCTACCATGCAGGAAAACAATGTTTGGAACAAGGCTTCTTCCCAGAACCGTTAAACCAGACCAACATTGTCCTCATACCAAAAAATGATGCACCATCATCCATGAGGGATCTACGACCCATATCGCTATGCAACGTCATCTACAAAGTTGTATCAAAAGTCCTTGCCAGCCGACTTAAAGATGTTCTGCACCAATGCATATCCCAAGCTCAATCTGCATTCGTTGAGGGACGTTCCATCCTCGACAATGTCATGGTGGCATCAGAAATAATCCATTACATGAAGTGCAAACACCAGGGCTAAACAAGTATGATTGCTTTAAAGATTGATATCAGTAAATCTTTTGACAGGGTCAGTTGGTCCTATCTACATTCCCTACTCTTGAAGCTGGGTTTTCACACTCAATGGGCTCTCTGGATGCGAATGTGTTATGCCTCCCCTACATTCCAAGTTATGGTAAATGGTGAAGGAGTTGGGCCCATCTCACCGGAGCGAGGACTATGCCAAGGTGACCCTCTATCACCCTATCTTTTTATTTTATGTGCTGAAGGACTCTCTTCCTTATTACGAACAACAGAGGCTAGAGGGGAACTCCACGGGACTAAAATTTGTCGAGGAGCACCGCAAGTCTCTCATTTGCTATTTGCGGATGACTGTTTTCTCTTCTGCAAAGCCACTGAACGTGAGTGCACAACCCTTCGTACCATTCTTCAACAATACGAGAATGCACCAGGACAAGCCATCAACTTGCAAAAATCCGAGATTTACTATAGCAAAAATACTATTACTAGATTGCGCATGTCCATCAACGCTATTTTGGGGGTACATGAATGCATTGGCACAGGAAAATACTTAGGCCTCCCATCCATGGTGGGCCGAAACAAAAGGGCAGTGTTCTCCTATGTTAAAGATAGAATATGGAAGAAGATCAACCACTGGACAGGCAAACACCTCTCAAAAGTTGGTCGTGAGACCCTTATCAAGTCAGTGGCTCAAGCAATCCCCACCTATTGCATGAGCACCTTCCTCTTACCAACCAGCCTCGAAGATGAAATTCAAAGAATGTTGAACTCCTTCTGGTGGGGCTCCAACCACCACACAGGGCGAGGTATCAAATGGTTAAGCTGGGACAAACTCACTATGCGGAAAGAGTATGGCGGTATGGGCTTCCGACACCTCCATGGTTTTAACTTGGCTATGCTTGGGAAACAAGGGTGGAATCTTCAGTCCAACCCTGATGCTCTATTTACACGAATCTTCAAAGCTAGATACTTCCCTCAAGGGGACTTCTTGGGTGCCCGCTTGGGCCATAACCCAAGTTTTATTTGGAGAAGCATCCACGCTTCACAGGTTCTAGTCAAGCAAGGTGCTAGGTGGTGTATTGGAGATGGCTCTTCTATTAATATTTGGAAGGACCCGTGGCTTCGCAACTCGCATAGTTCGTTTGTCACATCGATAGCTCCTCAAGGATACGAATCTCTCACTGTCCACGATCTCATTGATCACACTCTCCACAAGTGGGACTCATATCGCGTTCATTCTCTCTTTAATGATCAAGATTCTCAAACCATTCTAGCTATGCCTCTATTGAACCCCTCACGCCCAGATTCTTTAGCGTGGAGGCTAAACACCAATGGTTCATACTCGGTAAGAACAGCATATCATCACCTCATGGAACACGTCATCTCAAATAACACATTGAGGGTCCAGGGCGATTGGATGAACCTATGGAACTTGAAGATCCCCCACTCAACACAGATTTTCCTCTGGCGATTAATGAGAGGATGTATTCCCACGCGCCTGAATCTGCAGCAGAAAGGTGTCCCATGCACATCTTTTTGCGCCCACTGTTCTGCAAACCAGGAGAACGAATGACACCTCTTTTATCGTTGTCCAGCTGCCATAACCATATGGAAAGACTCAGGATGTTGGCCGAAGATCGCGCATATAGTAGAACAAGGAGTCAGTTTCATTGGCACCACGTGGAAATTGCTGGGCTACTTGACAGGTTCTGACTTAACATCTTTCGCTCTCATGCTTTGGTGCATCTGGCGGCGGCGAAATGACAAAGTATGGAAGGAGAGTGTCCCTCCTTCACGAACCTCAATCCAACTAACGGAACAACACTTTCATGCATGGCAATATGCACACAAAAAATTGACCCAACATGTCACCCCTACTGTGATCCACAGATGGACCAAACCTCCTATAGGCACTTTCTCGTGCAACGTTGATGCGGCAATCTTCAAGAACTCCTCTACTTTTGGGTTCGGCCTCTGTGTTCGTGATACAAGTGGATCATTCCAGATCGCTATATCTGGATGGAAACACGGCCTACCACCACCTCAAGAAGCAGAAGTAGTAGCTATGTTGGAAACACTTCAATTCCTCATCCATTCTCGATATGACAATGTGTGTGTGGAAACTGACTGTAAGCAAGTAGCTGATCATCTAAACAACACATACATTCTTCACTCTGAATATGGGATTATCATAAACCAATGTAGATCCCTGTTACGTTCCCATCAAAACCTCAAGGTTAGGTTTATTAGGAAA